AACATGTACTCGACTTCAAGCTGTCGCCGTATTATAGCGCGGACGACCTGTCGTTCACAGCCGCCCAGAGCACACTTCAGCTCACGTACCAGGACACGCTCCTGTACTTCGAGCGCGAGCACACGGCGACGACAGGGTTGGATGCGCTAGCAGTGCGTCCTGCTGACTCTGGATTCCCGACTGTCATTTCGGCGGACCCGGCCATGCCCATCCCTGCGACAGACTTCTCGCACTTGACTGTGGACGCAGAGGGCCTCGCGCTCAATCAGGATGGATCGTGAGTCCATCGATCCGAATCGCATGTCATGCAGACGTCGCTCAATGGACAGCGCAGGTTCTTCGTCAGCGACGAGTACGGGCCGTACATCTACCTCATAGATGCCTCAGGTAATCTTGTGGAGACCATCCAGCCTCCGGAGGCGTTCCTTCCGTTAATTGACGGCGCACTCAACTTCACTGGATCGGTCAACCCCGACACAGGGCGTGTTGCGAACCAAGGTATGTTCTCTATTCATACATTTCGTTCTTCCGTGCATGAACGGTTGTTTCTATTGTGTAGGCTTCGAGGGCCTTACCCTTGACAATACTGGCACGACATTGTACGCATTGCTACAGTCAGCACTAGTACAGGACGGCGGCGACGACGACACAACGTCAAGCTTCACCCGCCTCCTCGCGTTCGACGTCTCCTCGCCACTCACGCAGCGCCCACCGGTTATAGGAGAGTGGGTCGTACCACTGCCGCAGAGCAAGAAAGGGAAGACGCGTGCAGCGAGCGAGGTGCACTTTGTGGGCGGGGATGTATTCCTGGTACTGTCACGCGATGGACACGGACACGGAGATAGCAACGACGACTCATCATACAAGTGAGCATTCGGATGCTGTAGTCTAATATGCCAGTCATTCACGTGTTTCTTCAATAGGCAGGCTGATCTTATAGATATCAGTGGAGCAACTGACATTCACGGGACACAATTTGACTTCCCGAACGCATCCATCGCGACCAAGGGAAAATTGGACAAATCGATCACCGCGGCAGAGTACGTCTCGTTTGTGAACTTCATCGACGACACGCAGCTAGCACGGTTTGGTCTGCACAATGGTACGCTTCATTGCACAGTATTACTAGCGATTACACCGCTCACGTTACGTGTAGGTGACCCCGACGACCAGACCTTGATCGATGCCAAATGGGAGTCTCTCGCACTTGCGCCGTGCTTCGACCCAGACTTCCCGAACGACTTCTTCCTGTTCACTGCGGTGAGTCCGGCCATCTCTGCAGGACGTGTCTTCGCTGATATCGGTCTCTTTGAAGGCCGACAATGACTTTCTCACCGAGGATGGCTTTATGAACGGCGTGCCATACAATGCGGGCATCAACAACGATAATCAGTTCTTGGTCTTCCGTCTCACGCTGCCCACTGCACCATCGAATGACCTGCGGTGATGGACGTAGGTAGGAACTGTACGGGCCATAATGGAATGAATATAACGCTTAAAGAACATGAATATCGCTACGGATGCTGAATCAGATGTACAGAAACTTGGCCAGTCCTGTTCTCCTGGCTGCCTGAGTCTTTCAGACCCGAAAGTCAGTCACAACGGTATCTTGAGCAGAGGTCCAATCTCGCCTGCTACTTTCCGTCGTCGGGTGACAGGAGTCGCAATATATTCCTTTCAGGAGCGAATCGTCAATGTAACGCAATTGGGCATATCGGCGAATTCGAAGTACCGGATAACCCCCCTGAGTCTCCTCCGATACGTTCAATTGTAGTGCATTCACATCGAACCCCAGATCCCACGGGATATCGGATATCCCACGAATAATTCCTCGGGGCTTTGAACCACCGATGCAACTTCGTTCACTTCTGTCTGCAGACCAATGTCATAAGAGTCGTGGTGGTTTGTCTCTTGCGGCCGTGTTCCATGCGTATGTCATACGTGGGAAACATATCCAAGTGATCACTACTCCCCTCAGAATTAAGGTGGAGGCTGGCTCAAATACGTACAAGGACACAGGGGCACTGCACAGCAGCTCGCGAATAGATCGTAGACAACCTCGCCGAGAGCGAATACGGCATGCAAGGATCCTACATAGCCTCGATGCGTGCCGAAATCTCCGAAGATGACTTCTGCATCCATTATTTCCCGTCAAGTGAAGTTCTCAGTAAGACTGGTGTGCACCCACTGCATGGGTAGCTCCTGTATCCGATTGAACACTGGGTAATGCGGCGGGGTGTTCTTCAAACAACGAGCAGAGCGGGTCCACCGAATGATAATTCTTTAGATCAACAGTCCGCAGTGACACCATGAAACCTTCGACATTGACCTTCGATTAAATAGCGCTATGCAGTACAGTGGCACTATGATCTTGTTTCGTGAGTCCAAGTCCCACTGAAGCCTAAGGTCGTGCTATGCAATAGACAAGGGCTCCATAGGTGTCTAACATCCTAAAAGAGCTTCACAACGGTTCTCTCTGCAAACGGACAGGACCTCAGAGGTGCTAGGAAAAAGTAGACTATGTGACGAGATCTGACAATAAATCAGCAAGCATAGCGTAACCGGGGATAAGCCGAACTTTGAGGTCTCGTCAAATTCTAACACATGTCTCACTCTCGTAAACTAAAACTGCAGGTAAGTTAGCATCGGTTCATTGGTGTCAACTCTTCATATTGCTATCCAGAAATGCAGACATAGGTTGTGTGACCAAGAGTTCGTTTCTCATCTTCCATGCACTGGCCACTGTACTTGTTTTCACGGGCCGTAAGGGTTGTGCACTTAACAATATTGGCGCAAAATGGCGTGGGTTGCTCACTTGGCGCTACTGACGATAATATCAGAGAAAATGAGTTTGCTGGTTTTGACGCACTAGGCCTGTTTCTCGAGGCTTGTCAGGGTCTTCTCTGATTTGCCACGGGTGGCGCAAACGGTCAGGTGCAGGGAGGGCACAGTACGAGACGGCGGACGCAATGACAAGCTTCCTTCGCTCGTTTTTGTTCGACGTTTCGCACGCAGAGCTTACCCATTCGTTGGAGAGCGAGCTATATCAATACCGTAGAACAAGAGCACGACACGTGCCATGTTGGGCGAGGTGCACTTCGAGTCTTCTGCCAGCATTAGTTTGACTCTAGCTATCCATCAGAATCCTTTAGATACAGATACAACAGGATGCCAGGTCTTGTTCATCACGAACAAAATAATACACACAATCCCCACGGACAATAGCGTGCGCTACTTCACGTGAACCGATGTCATGACCTTCGCGGCGACTTGCCTAGTATGTTCCATGCATATGTTGTGCGTGAGAAACACGTGGGATGTAATACGTACGAGGATATGCTTTACAACAGGGTGGTAGAATGCCTTGCGAGGAACCGATATGATACTCAAGGTTCATACACAGTCTGGTCACTTTCGAGACCTTCATAGGAGATATCACACGTTCATCCTGTCCCGCCGAATGTAATTTCCGGTCAATACGGCTTCACTGCATCGGCGGCGCCTGCTTTGCGGATGATCGATCGAACAAGGCGATGCCCTTGAGATATCAAATATCAAGCACGATCACAATGTGATCAAAAGCCGATGAATTGCCAGATTCGCGATCTTTCATCTGCGGTAGGATGGCAAGAGGGTCGACTGCAAGCGTCGGTCGATCTTAAGAAGTGCTATTGAGAAACTTTCTTCGACTTTTCGACTTGGTCGACAAGCACGAGCCCGGTAGTCAGCGCACCGAGTGAATCAACAAAGTTATGAATGAGTTTAGTGCGTCTCGGAGAAGCCGACATTTTAGATTTATAGTTTCTGCAGGTGTGCATAACATGCCAACCAGCATAGAGGAGATACGCTTGCGAGGATATCATACTTCATGTACCCCACTACCTGCAGGTAAGGTGATTTGGTACTTGCAGCTCAATTCCACGCGCATTGGGGGTAAAACGAGTTTATTAGGAATAAATGTAGGCCCTTGATCATGAAGACCTATTCATCGGACGAGATGTCATCGGTCAAGGCGTAAATTGTGTCCCGCTGTGTCAGGGAAGCAACATCTCGTCGGGGGTGAAAAACCTCCGTATTTTTGCCTCGACTCCTCTCGTAAGCGTACTGGAACATCATCCTGATGACTCCCACAGGAGGGGCGTATAAAACCTGAGCAATTCCTCCTCAAAAGGTTCCTCAGGTCCTCACATCGACTCCGCTGCTCAACAGTTCTTGACTTTGCGAAAGTACCATTAGTAAATCATGATCGGATTTACGGGAACGTGACAAGTACTGATCATATATCCAACGTAGCACAATGTCCGCCACAGGCAGCATCAAGGCCGAGGGTGCGAACAAGTTCATCGGCTCGTTCACCGTCAGCGGTGTCAAGGTGAACATCACCGGCAACCTCTCCGACAGCATCCAGACGTGGTCGTGCAGCGATGCGACGCTTGACTACGGAAGTACCGGGCACCTCACAAGCACGCGTGACTTCCACGGCGTGATTGGGACCACGACCATATCCCTTCAATTTACAAACGGCCCCTCAATCACTGGCAATCTGGACTCATCGCTTACCCTTGCGACCACTGTGGTCGGTTCTGGCACCTGGGAGTCTGACTAATGGTAAGGAGGCATATTCATGGGTTGTACAAGAGCACTGCTAATGCACATTCGGGATTGTAGGGCGCCAATGTCAATGGATGAGGAACTTTGGAGTCCAGGTCTTCAGGTTCTCGGCTAATACCGAGACGTAGTGAAGAGATATGCGGGGAGAGAATGATGATGTGTCCATGAGTTGCAACGGTCTTCAGAGAAGCTACTTCTTCAACTCAGCACGCATTTGAGTCAAATCAAGCCGTACAAGATAGATGCAGGGTTACTCTGATAGTGATTAAGACCAACATACGAACATACGTAAGAATGCGGAAAAAGTATGAGCGCAGAAATCCATCGCTGACACAGCGACAACGCACATGGACATGATAGAAAAAGAAACTAGTGTTCTCATCAAAGAATCCTTCGAACCGGGATCGAACCAGTGACCTTGAGATGCGCTCATATATCCAGTTACAGTCTCACGCTCTTCCAACTGAGCTATCGAAGGGCGATATTATATTCAACATATGCTGTGGTATCGCCGCTGGTTCGTTGGTATTGGTACTCTTTGAAGGCTTAGCAAGCCTAGGCTTGACTTGCTGCTTCTCCGATGGCCCTTGCGTTAGGCTGTCTTCTCCTGGACTCGTCGCGACTCCGCTATCCTCTATGTATTCCCTATAGTCCATCTGTCGTTATCTCAAATCGCCGTTCGAATTTTTTTGCTGCAAATTCCTCCTATCTCTGTGCTTCGCAGGAGTACAATCACCACGGCATGTCCAAAATTGAAGTGACTGTGCGAAACACATCAGCGTACGAAGGGCCATCATGCCATGAAGCCGAAGTTTTTACAAACATTGACAGCATCTGCCTTGAGGATCGGATTCAGTCACAAGTCACAAAGATGCATGTTGAGCGGCGGTGCACCGGTTCGAGTCAGTAACCAGGGGCGCTCTGAGGTATGGGCTCACCTCGAGGCGATAGCAGCCCTCGGCGCCATGAAGATCATTCCCACCAGGTCTCAATCTAGCTGTAGGAGACGGAGGACTGCTGGTCTCGGTAGTCATGTTTATTTGCTAGCTAAACAAGTGTTGGGCGGAGCGGAAACTAGATCTCGTCCTGCGCGAGCGGCAACACTGGAGCATCAGTTACAGCAGGCAAAAGGCACCCTTAGCAGCGCACACTGCGAGACGAACAATGCATGGCCTGTCAGAATCAGCGCCAGCGAATGCTGTGTGCCGTCGACCGTAGCCAAAGCAGGGCCGGTCGCAACTGCGCTAGGTATCCGAGTACCTCGAGCGCGCATGAAGTTAAATATATCGCTCTGCGTCTCCCATCGTTGTGTACTTGATGGTTCTTGTGAGTCTTGTCTTCCTGGCTCCTCAATGAGCTCAGACGGCTGTTACCTCTCGGGAGAGGCACAGACATCGCGCGCGTCCAAGGTGAAGGTGCTCTGGGGCAGTTCGCTGCTGGCATCAGAATTTGTCCTGAATATGGTAAGCGCAGACGAAACACGGAGTGAAGATGGTTGCAGTTTTGATGCACCATCACGAGGGTTGGAGATGCGCGGGATGATGACCTAAAGCAGCGCGCCGCGATCGGTGGCGGTATGTGTGGCTGTGGTACTTTCCGTCTCACGGTGCCGCCTTATATACGCCCACTATGCATCTGGTACACTCGAGCTCGCTCCAAAGCCACACTTCATTCGTCTGGTTTCTGTTCTTCGTTTCTTCATCTTAATCCTCTTTAATAGCCCCTAGACTCAAGTTATTCCTACAATCGCTGGCCGATTGTAGACTTTACGACGAACGCACACTACCTGACACACCTGACCCGACCCACGAAATCAGTCATGAACTCAATCAAGCTTACCCCCACTGAGGCTCTCCTCCAGGTCGCGAAGTCTCGCCCCTTCGCGATTGCTATCCGCTGTGGCAAGACAGAATGGTCCTACGCTGCTCTCTGGCAGCGCGTTCGCGAGTTGGCGAACAAGATCGACGAGCTAGAGACTGAGGGCCGTCCTATCGGCGTTTACATGGGGTGAGTGACAAGGCGGTATTGACTACCACTTCTGACTGACAATCCGATAGTCTTGAGGTTGACTTCGTCGCCGCGGCCCATGCTGCATGGCTTTCGGGCCGCACTGTAGTGTACCTCAACTCCAAGTGGACCCCCGAGGTCCTGAGCGTCATCCTTGAACGTTCCAACACCGGTCTCATCCTTTATGGTGACTCCGTGTTCCCTGGTGTCGACGGTAGCCGTTCCGTGTGCACCTTTGACTTCGTCTCGCGTGAGCCCGCCGCATTCGTTGGGCTTCCCCCGGTGCACGAGTCCGTGGACCGCGTACCGCTGGTCTGCAGCGTGACCCCCACTAGCGGTAGTACCGGCGTCCCGAAGAGCATCGTTTACCCGATGAGCCGTTCCCTCGACGTCCTCACCGAGGAGTCTACAACACTGCTCAAGCCTCGGGATGGCCAGTGGCTGCGTGGTGGCACGGTATGTCTTTGCTTGCCCCGAGTTCTCTTGCATTGCTCTGACTCTAACGTCTTATGTCATGCAGACCTTCCTGCGCCCTCTCTTCGAGCTGCGCCGCTTCATGTACACTCAAACGACGCTCTACCTGGACTCCGCGACCTCTGTCGCTGGCCAGTGCGAGAACTTCGCCAACGAGCTCGAGGACTCATCAAACATGCAGCCTCTCCGCACGCACTTCACGCCTGGCGTCTTCAAGGCTTTCGTCGACTACGTCAAGCTGAAGTATGGCGAGAACAAGTCGTGGGACCGTGTGTACTGGATGGTGATTGGAGGCGAGAACTTGAACCCCCAGGACCTTGCACTGGCCAAGAAGATCTTCCCTCAAGCTACCCTCGCGTGCAACTACGGCGTAAGTTGGACATGCTCTCATGGTTTAGCGCATCGTTTCATTGCATTCTCTTTCAGTGCTCCGAGGTCGGTTTCGCCGGCGTCAACCAGCACTACGTCCGCCCCGACGAACCTGTTCCTGAGGCGATCACCTTCGACGCCACGCAAGGATGCGACGACCTCGTCCTGCTCAACGATGAGATGGAGGTTGTCCCCTGTACGGAGGGTGCCTCCGGCATCATCGGTATCGTCTCCAGCCAGAGTGCAACTCGCTACCTCGGAAACGACGCGGCGACCGCACACATGTTCCGCCCCTGGGGCGGCGCACGTATGTTGCTCTATACGGACGACATCGGGCACATCGCGAAGGACGGCCGGATTGCGATCAAGGGCCGTCGCTCGCGCAACGTCAAGATTAACGGCTTGTTCGTCGACCTCGACTTTGTCGAGCGCGCGCTCGTGCAGGCGTTCAGCCCTGAAGTGCTCGGCCACGGCGTTGCCGCGTACAAGCTCGTGAAGTCGTCGAGCGAGAAGATCATCATGTTCTGGACGGGCGAGGCCGCGGAGATGGACGTGCTCAGGCGCGTGCGCGAGACCCTTCGCGCACAGCTCGGGGACAACCTTGCGATGGTCGTCTCCAGCACCCGCAAGCTCCCCGAGATGCCGTACAACGCCAGCTACAAGGTCGACCTTGCCAAGCTTCAAACCTTCGCCGACGAGACCCCCGCAGCCAGTGAGCTCGCTCCTGAACCCGCTGCACCTGCCAAGAATGCTGTCCAGGAAGTCGCATCCGCCATCGCGGAAGAGGTTGCTCGCCTCAGCAATGCGCCGGGCGCCGTCCCGATCGACGTTCCTCTCATGCTCGCAGGTCTCAACTCCATCACTGTGGTCCAGTTGAACTTCTGGCTGCAGACTCGCTATGACTGGGACGACGACATGGTCCGGCTCTTCGAAGACGATGCTACCGCGGAGGCCATCGCGCGCGACATTGTCGGCGAGGCCGCGGAGAGCGCAAGTGCAAGCGACTCGGACGAAGAGGCACCCGCAGCTGTGTCGAAGGTTACTGAGATCGCTCAGGCTGTTGCGGCACAGGTCAAGAAGCTCAGCCGCTCGAACGAGGCGGTGCCCACCGACGTCCCCCTCACGCTCGCGGGTCTCAACTCGATCACTGTTGTCCAGCTGCACTTCTGGCTGCAGTCGACTTACGACTACGAGGAGGACATGAGCCGCCTCTTCGAGGAGGACGTTTCTGCTGAGGTCGTCGCACGCGATATCCTCGGAGCTGCGCCCGTTGAATCGGAGAGTGCCTATGAGGCGCAGTCGGAGTGCGGTGAGAGCGAAACCGACAGCTCGGAGCAGATGGACATCGCCCGTGCAATTGCGAAGGAGATCGGCACGTACTGCAGGGCGCTCGGTCCTGTTCCCACGGACGTGCCCCTCGTCATGGCCGGCCTCAACTCTATCACCGCCGTGCAACTCTACTCGTGGCTGCAGGCGACGTACGACTTCGACGATGAGATGAGCAGACTCCTGGACCACAGCGTGACTGCTGAGGTCCTGGCTCAGGACATCCTTGGTAAGCTCCCGTTGATGGTGATCGTTGCCCACGCGTTTGATGCTAATGATGCGCTCACAGGTTCGTCGCCTGCTTCATCGGAGGCCCCGGAGACGCCCCAGGACGTTATCGAAGTGGTCGTTGAGGTCGCTGATGAAGACATCCCCACCATCACACTTGATGAGGAGAGCGTCTCCAACCCGACCTCCCCGGCTACAGCCTCTCAGCAGCATGCTGCGGAGTCAGAGCCGAAGTCGCCCGCCATTGCACCAGCACCAGCACCAGCTCGTCGCACGCGCCTCGCGCCGAAGGCACCTCTCTCCGTCAAGGTGTATCCCACCCCGGAGGAAGTTGCCCTACCAGGGACCCCCATGCCCAACTCTGCAGCCAAGTATCTCACCGCAGAGGCTGTCCTGGATAGCAGCGTCCCCGCAGGTGACTCCCTCTCTGGCAAGAAGGCAGGGCTCGTGTACGGCTTGCTGGCGCTCGGCCTGCTTGGCTCCCCGCACTCGCCCACCTTCAACCTCGCCTCGCAGCCCGCCCTGTCACCACGCGCCCCTGGGTCCGCGCACACGCCTGTGTTCTCCCCCTGGCTCGACACCGTTCGCTATCCCGCCATGGAGGCAATCCAGTCGCCATGGATGGCGGACGCACCGCACCGCAGCATTGGCAACGTCCTCTTCCCCCAGTCGCCACGCGTCTACTAATGATCTCTCATGGGTACACATATGCTTGTTTATGACAGTCAGGTATAACGTTCGTCACGACACACTCATTTTATGACATGCTTCTTTTACGACCTGAGCCTAGGGCTGGACCCTTTCACGAGTAGATACGAACCTGTACAGAAACCATGCGTATAATATCTAATAGTATGAAGATGGCTTATCTATAAGTGCTCTCGAGACCATGAGGGATGTATTGCTTGCGCGCGGAAGTTTCTAGTTTGTTCCGCTGGAGTTTTCCACGTGGCCTCCAGGTTTGCATCGCTTCGGATCAGGTTGATCCAGAGAGGACCGACCCACAACGCCCAAGCAGCTCTATGTGAAAGAACTTCGGAATCCAGTGTACGAAGTTGAGTCGAGAGTCGAGAC